CCCCCCCCCCCCCCATTCTGTTCGACTCGTCCCACGAGACAGCCTCTCCTAAGAACATCATTCTCGAAACAGCTGATTCCGGTAACGAGACACCAGTCATTCCATGGAAAGGGACTCGAGTATCCGGGGAATTTCTCCGGAACATTGTCGGAACGAATCGATCCAACGTTGACGGAAGGGATCGGACAATATTATGACAGAGCAAGAGTTTCGGAAGCCACTTGGCTTCCAATGGGTCGATGGAGGAGGTCAGGGGGAGGGTGGATAGGCCTAATGGAAGAACACATCGTGGCCGGTCCACGTTGGTTTTGTAGTCGACCGTCGGTCAACATTAGCGTAACGTTCGCCAGGGCGTTCGGAGGGAGAGGGGAACGTCGCAAAGCTGCTTTGAAAGCAGCGGTCGGCTCCGGCCCCGGCGTCCATTTCGAAGATGAAACCTCCGGCCGCGTTTATTCAGGGATCAAAACAGCGAGCCGAAGGTTGACTCGAACCTAACACATCGACTCCGGCCTGCTCCTGTGTACGTCCAAATTAAACGTTCACACCTGCCCTGCTCCGGAATGCGTTTGCTTTGAGCCCCGGTAGCCGGGCGGTTAAATGGCCTGTTAGCTAATGGAACAGCGAAGACGATGCGCGTTCGTACAGGGATGCCTCTGTTTGATTTCGTTCGCCTCCGCGATCGTTCGTTGGAGCAGCAACTGCCTTTTGAACTCGGTCGTCGTAGATTCTGCCTCTAGAGAATCGAATTGTCAATTTCACCGTTCCTGGTTCAGTAATTTCGCCGCGAGTCTTACTTTCCCCTTTCTTCGACTGTCTTCTGGTTCCAAAGTACGTACAGTAATTTCTCCCTAATTCGCGCTCAGATCGCGCACAGAAATTTGGGAAGCGGAGATACGATTATTCGAGCCTCGCGGCTCGTTTTTATAGTTACCGAGTGTCAACAACCATGAAAACGAGACGCAAGGCTCGAGTAATCGTATCTGCTCTTCTTAAAATGTCAATTTCATCGTTCCTGGTCCAGAGTAATTTCGCTGCGAGTCTTACTTTCCTCTTTCTTCAAATGTCTTTTGGTTCCAAAGTACGTACAGTAATTTCTCTCTAATTCACGCTCAGATTGCGCACAGAAATGGACAATTTGGCGAGAGGAGATATTATACGATTATTCGAGCCGCGCGGCTCGTTTTTATAGTTACCGAGTGTCAACAACTATAAGAACGAAACGCAAGGCTGGAATAATCGTATCTTCTTTTCCCAAATTGTCCATTTTTGTGCGCGATCTTAACGCGAATTAGAGAGAAATTACTGTACCTCGAGCTCTTCGCTCGCTGTCAGTGCAGAGAATAAACTCTACAGCAGGCATGGGCAGCCTTTTCTAGTTCGTTAAAACAAGTTGCTACTGTATACTTCATTTATTTATTGTATTATAATGCTTCATCGGAATGTGCTCTGCATAAATCTTAAAATTAGACCGGGAATCTCTTCGTGGATAATAAAAATTTTCATTATACATTTCGTCTACCAAAAATGAGATAAAAATGTGTGTCTTCCGTTATCGACGATGATACAGCAAAAATAATGCAGCATCGATTTTTAATTTTTCTTTTGTCTTCAACGTCCCGTGCGTCGTTAACACATTTTTACTGCATAAAATCCGCAGTCTACTTTGTAATAAAACGCGCGTCAACAATTTAGTGCGTAGATTGGCCTGGTACTTGAACCGCGAAACCATGACCGCCGACCTTGCAATCACTTAAGAATAATCGCGTAGAATATTCAAGGTTCCGTTCGAATGTTTCATTTATCGTAATTTCATCTTCGAAAAAAGCTGGTCTTTACCATGGATCGGGGCCGAATCGAAATGGTTGGTTGCCCGTGCCTGCTCTGCAGACTGCGCGGATTGCCGAGAATCTATTAAAGTGTTACGCTAGAGACGGCAACGCTATCATCGAAACGCCATCATCCAGAAATGACATGCTGATTCCCAGCGAACCCGTCCTGCAGATTCTCGGTCCGATCGCGGCAGCCTCTGGTTCGAGTCCGGTCGCCGGAATTCCCGGCGTGCTCTCGAAATTCA